CCACTTACAAAATCACCAGTTGCCCCTATAGAACCGATCGATTCCATCCACATCATCACATACATGTCGCAATCATGTCTGTTACAAAATTTGAAAACCACACATGTCAATTATGATGAATACTGCATAAATTAAGCTTTCTATTTGTGATAACATCTCATACCCATTCAATTGCTTATTCTTCTTATGCTCCACAAATTTGAAATTTTTCAAGGGATACTTTCCTAGAGATCCACAGGATTCAACCCAAATGCGTTTCTTATTATAAGAATCTAATATTTTAATCTGTATTAAAATAGAAGAAGTTATGCACCAAAAAAATTATGCATTATAATTTACATAATGTCCTTTCATACATACATACATACATACCAATCTCTTAGCATCCTTTACTCTCTATTTAGCTGCTTCAGTTGTAAACATACTATCATATATTGTTGCAACACGATCTACCATATCCAACACCAACAGATACCAATGTGAATTATGGTAGTTTATTGTGATCATGATCTGCAACAAATTTCACACCTAATTTGACAAAATTCAACATTCTATATCCGAAAACATCATTTGCAATTGGTATGGTGTCTTACCTTCTCACAGTCGGTGAATTTCACATAGTTATCCAATATGAGACCCCAGAAGGTAGAAATACTCTCAACACTTTCTTTGTTGTTGGCATCCAACGCCTGTTGCTGTAATTACGCAACAAACATTATTAATTTACCGTCTATAACACTACTTTTCAACATTTATTAATTTAACTCACCGCTAAGAGGTATGGAAGGTAGCCAATCATCCGGAGTGACTTTTGAGAATCGTAGCATATTGTCCAGGCGAGCAAATCGATAACCTAACAAAATTAATTACACAATCAGAACATATTCAATAAGTTTTAACATTTTCTACTTTCTACTTACCACACCGCCAACCCATTCCGTAGGCTTCAACGTTGCAACGTCGTATACAATAGCGAATTGATTTCCCATTGAGATTACAGAATATCTGTATGAATCATTAGGATTAATATGTTGTCATGAAATATTTAAATATCACTCACAAAACAATATATTCACTTACTCCGATTCTAACTCGCTATTCCATAAATAATCACAAATTGCAGCTTCGATGTCATCAATTCCGCTTGGAATATCCGCTTTTTCAACCTACAATTTTGCATACAAATTTTTCTCACAACAACATAATAAAAATCAAATTAAGTTTTCTTTTATTCAACTTACCTTCTGCTTCTTCTTCTGGGGTGCAGGACATTCCGAATCCAAATCTGCTGCTATAACACTCTCCGGTGTATAAATGACATTGACTTCCTTCCTCCTCACTTCTTCCATCTCTTCTTCTTCCTCCTCCCTCTTTTCTTCTTCATATTTTTTCAGTTCATCGTATTTTTTTCTACATAGCTCTTCATCTCTTTTATTTCACCCTTCAATTGATCTCCTTCATCCAAGTATTTATCAACCACCCCCTTCACCCCGTAAGTTCACTCCTCAATTCCACAACCTCCTTCACCACTCCCTCAAATTTTCACCCGTCACCATCTTAATATCACCCTTAACACCCCAACTTCTTTCACCACTTCACCCCTCAACACCTCTACTTCTTTCACCACTCCATCTTTTTTCCTTCCACTACCCCCTTATGCCTCTCAAGTGTATCTTCGACTCTCTCAAGTTTCTCTTCGACTCTTGATTGTCTTTGCATGATTTCAAATTGGATTTTTTTGATATCAGCCAATTCAGACATCAAAATGTCGAAGTTACTACGTTTTCCCTCACCGTCGTCCCACTCACCATCATCCCCCAATACAACCATCCCTCATTTCTTCTCCTCTGCCTCCACTGCCTCCTCTACATCCTTGCCAATAACCTTCAAAATTAAATTACAATATTAAGACATTGATTATATTCTTAATATTATTTAATTACATTTATTACCCTTTCTTGGTTCTTCGCTCTATCCAACTTCAACTTCACCATCACTCTAACCACCTCTTCCTTCCCCCATGCACGGATGCGTGCCACTCCGTTCTTTCATAAGCCGGCACTGCCTCACAGCCCGACCAAAAATCGAACAGTGCAACCTGCATTTATAATAAATTATATTTTTATATAAAAACACAAAAAAGTTCTTCAACTCATTTACCTCTAAGATTGCTATGCACCCTTTGAGGTATCTCTGGCTGCCCTTTTAAAGGTGATTATTGATTCAATCAATCTCGATGGATATATTTAGCCCAATTGAATTCACCCTTCAAGCCTTCATCACAATGAGCTTCATATGTTCTTTGTTCGTTGACGTATTACCCGTTGGACAAAGAAAGATACCGACAAGGTATAATAGAACTCTGGCCTTCAGCTCATCCCCAACGTAAGATCCACTTTTATTTCGTCTTCAATTTCAGCATATGTCACCTTATGCTTCAAACCATATTTGGAGGCAAGTGCTTTCCAGTCCTTACTCTGACAGACTTCTACAACACTTTTGCCTTATTTTCTACCCCCCAATACGGCTGCCAGCATGGGATCCCGAGAGGAAATGAAAAATCACCATATTTAGCAATACATTGCCTGACATCAATTGCGCCATCAAGGATCGACACAATTCCCTCCGAATAGGTCGATCCCTTACTCCTACCACGATCCAAAACCTATTTCTCCCAGCACATTCAACTGACCCTTCTCCTTAAGGTGTTTAATTAATAAATTCACCCTTTTAATACTACATCTTGTCGACACTTCCTACATTTTTAACAATATAATGTTATAGTTCTTATATTTTGTATCAACGTATTTACAAGTTTAATGAATACCTTATTTTCATGTGCTTTCCTCCGTTCTTTGTATTCTTTACTATCATTCCTTGACTGTGTGATGTAAGGTTCCTTTTCAGCATCACTCATTGAATTCCATTTGGACCTCACATCTTTTGTCACCTAATATAAAACATAAACGTTTCTTAATCAATACATTAACACTAAATACTACTCAATGTCAATTTCATTTTACATACCGAACCGCTCTGTGTGTCATCTTCCTTCATCCTTTTGCATTCGGCCATACTGTCAACATTTAAAATTTGTAATCAATTTAAAGTTTATCGATACTTTAATCCAATTACCATTTCAACAATAATAAAAAAGACATTGATACTTACTAGAAGTACATATATCCACCCTTGGGTTGCTTTCGAGTCTCGACCTCAATTTCAAAGTCATCTGCTCCACCAACAATTTTCCAACCCATTGACTCCATTTTTCCTTCATATATCAGTTTACGCAAATCAAATTATTTTGTTACATACACTTTATTCAATATACAAATATAGATAACTACTCTTGTGGTAAAACGGTTTTCTTCAAAAGAATTTGAATGCCACACCAAAATGTGTCGGCACATTTTATACAACCTAATATCATTTTCTACCTATAATATTTAATAAAAGTATCGACATTTATATTTTTCCTTGAATATCACTTTCTACCTGCAATCGTTCCCAAATGCTTCTTTACTACAAAACCCCAAACAACACATAAAAACCCTATCGCGATTACTGTAATAATAAAAAATTAGGGTTTCGACAACATACTTTTCGATTCGACTGCAGCAACAAACAAACAAACTTCGCTTTAGAAACGCCTTCTGAATGCAGCAACAATTACGCTTCGCTTTCAAAACTCGTCCGCTCTCTATTTTCAGAGGAGATTTAGCTTATATTTTGATCGGATATGTTATTTATATTTTCGATACAAATACAAAAGTGTCGATACTTTTGTCAGGTGTCGATACTTTCGAAAGGATAATTACCTATTTCTTTGAAAGTGTCGATAATTTATTACACGTACTTACGAAAGTATCGACACTTTCAATATATCCGGTATCATTTTACCGGTTTTATCATTTTGATACCGGTTTTATCATATTTTTACCTTTTATCGTTGTGAATCGATATATTTTTTAAAGTATCGACACATTATAAGCGCTAAAACTGCTTCTCTTTTAAATTCACAAAGTGTCGATCCTTATATAAAGTATCGACACTTTCAACATATCCGGTAACGTTTTACCGGTTTTATCATTTTGTTACCGGTTTTATCATATTTTTACCTGGTATACGTTTTAATATTTCTTCATGACTTAGACCTACTTTATACGTATGGACACTTTTATAAAAATGATATATACTTTTTTAAAGTTATGTAATTTATGTTTCAATTTTTTTTAATAGTGTTTCATGTTTTCCACCTACAATATTAATTTAATAATTTCATTACTCAAAAATTATTTGATATTTTATAAATATTATTTAGAATTTAAATTTAACAATATTAACCAAATATAATAATAAATAGTTTCCACAGTGAAATAAGTATAGACACTTTTATAAAAATGATATATACTTTTTTAAAGTTATGTATTTATGTTTCAATTTTTTTTAATAGTGTTTCATGTTTTCCACCTACAATATTAATTTAATAATTCATTTACACAAAAATTATTTGATTATTTGATTATTTGATATTTTAAAATATATTTAGAATTTAAATTTAACAATATTAACCAAGATAATAATAAATATGTTTTCCACAGTGAAATAAGTATGGACACTTTTATAAAAATGATATACTTTTTTTAAGTTATGTAATTTATGTTCAATTTTTTTAATAGTGTTTCATGTTTTCCACCTACATATTAATTTAATAATTTGTTTTGATATTTTATAAAATGTTATTTAGAATTTAAATTTAACAATATTAACCAAAGATAATAATAAATATATTTTCACAGTGAAATAAGTATGGACACTTTTATAAAAAGGATAGATACATTACAATATAACAGGTAAAAATATGACAAAACCAGATTCATTATGACAAAACCGGTAAAATTTACTTGATATGTTAAAAGTATGGACACTTTTATAAAAATGATAGATACTTACCGATAACCAAAGTTTACCGGTTACCAAATTTTTTAATAGTTTTTCATATTTTCTACCTAAAATATTATTAGTTGTCAACATAATAGGTACCGCTAAACCGAATTTATTAAATACATTTTAATGTATCCGGTACTGCCGTATATTAACCGTATATTAACCCGTCTTTCCTGAAACAATCCCTCAAAATAGGCCTCCAAAGACGGAGGGTATCAGGGACTTGGGAAATACAATATCTAAAATATGATGCTTTGAATCCAATCTATTGCTAGTTCAGAACTGTAAGAAATATTTAGGTTAAATAGAATATAATTGGATTGGTAAAAATTTAGTCTCAACAGTAATTTTCCAAACAACTTTTACGTTCTTTGCATTTCGGATACAGGTTAAATCATGATTTCAATCCCAAGTCTAGTTATTTTTACCCATTTAATAGTGTTTGGGTGAAATCTAACGTCTCAAAAATCTATGCCAACAACAGCACGAAAATTTGGCATCGTTCAACTTTCGGTGAGGAACGTTTTCTTTAGAAAAATTGGTCAAGAAAACAATATAGATTCAACTTGTGGTAACAAATGACACCGAACGATATCGATTCTCAGAGTCCCTTTATTCAAATGGATCCATCGCTAATTTGGCCGTGGACGATGTCATGTCAACATAAACATTGACCAAAGATTTGCTTGCAAAATAAAATACTTTATGTTCATTAACTTTCTTTAGAACACTTCACCAAAACTAATATAGCAAGCACATATGACACTAAAGTAAAAAAGGTCGAGAAAACAATGACGATTCTCAAAGTTCTTAGTTCAAAGGAATCCATTGCATGTTGGCCATGGATGATGCCATGAAAATATGAACATGAACCACCAATTCGATTGCATAAGAACTGAAGAGTACTAACACCATGTCTCATTAACTTTCATTAGAATACGTCACCAAAGTTAATTTAGCAAAAAGCACAAATGGCACAAAGCGAAACGGACTGGAAAATATTAGCAATTCTCAAAACTGTGTTCACAAAGGAAATATTTCGGGTGAGGGAAAGTGGGAGATGAGCTAAATCCAATAACCTATGTATATGTCCTTGAAGCCACGAATAATGACTAGCAGCAACAGCTGCAATAAAAATATTTTCAAATCTTCGATGACTATAGATTACAGCTCGCCATTGTAGCACAAAGAGGTTAAGATTCTAATCATATATCCATTACGATGAAGAGTAATAATACTTCAACTCAATGCCTCTTTGTTTTGGATTCACTTTTGGAAAGCACTACTCCTGAAATCTTGTTGATCTCATAAAGTAATCCAATCGAAAACAAGAAACTGCGTTGAATACAAAAAATAAAAAGCAGTTGTTAGTATGCATATTTGTGAACAAAAACAACTGATTTGCCATTACTAGTAGTACTGGTTGGTCCATACTATTTTAAAATTTATTTCTACAAACTGAAAGCCTACAACCAACCAAGCTGTGATGTCTTGTATTGAAAAACATTTCAGATTTTCATGCTCAGACTGACCTTGTTTCGACAGCAGGGAGCAAACTTATCATCCTTTTTTCTTTCAATTTTCCTGTGTGGGAGAGCGTGCTGACTATACAACTACAGTTGTTGACAGGAAATCTAAGGTTCAAATTCATCACACTGGCTCCACTACAAGACAATAAGACATTCTTGACAGAAACTACAGGTTTCTTTCTGACAGTGGATTGCTTCATAATCATAAGCTACCTTGCTTAAACATGAATGATCTTCCTTCCAACATAATTTAAACTTACAAAACCATACCATCAATGAAATAAGAAAATCTCATGAAGCATGCAAGGTAGGAACTGCAAGGAAAATGAAGATAATGAATCAAATCTTAACATTACCATGTCGTGATAGAAACTCGGTGAACAGCGCTAGCAGCAATCAGTGAAACCACTTCTGCTAATATTACTGCCAAAAGGAAAACAATAAGAGCAATTCACGTTAAGCTCTTAAGAAATGACAAATTATGTAACAGAGAACCAAGAGAACAGTGTGCAAATTAAATAGAAAAACTAGTGGCAGGTTCTTCACTAACTGTTAACAATACTAGGAACCAACAGCTTTTGAATATTAACCTTCCAAGCTTCTTACTACTGTTTAATTTTTCAGTATCAAACTTCATGAAAGATGAAAGCAAAGCTACACGTGCATTTCAGATTAAAGATTCATTCTTTCTGATCTTTGTTAATGATGAACAACCATAAATAAGGAAAAAGAAAGGCAATCTATACTTACCAGCACCCCAGCCAGTTCTCATTCCAGATGTTTCCTGGAAATTCCCAATGAACTAAGATGACAAAAGGAAAGAAAAACAATGATTACTGTGCTAAATCAAGTACATGAAAAAGACTTGGAAAATTTTAAATGCCTGTGACGGACACACCAGAATCCGACACAACTCAAAATAACGTAGTTTACAACATTGAAAAATGCATAATACAATCAGATTAAAACCATTACCCATAACATAAAACGGATAAATAAGAAAAAGGGGTGGAATCCGGGCTTACGACTCACCGTTAGTGACACCAGAAACAGTAAGGAGCTGATTAATCCTCCAAGTATTGTAAAAAGCTCTGTTGACGCTAACTTCCCTCTATACATCCCTTGGATTGAAAGAATCACAGTAAATAGAAGAAATGAATACAGCATTGAACTACCAGATCCCGCCATAGCCTTCACGTTGAATAAAAAAAAAGAATCAGAAACACTAGTCTTAGATAACAATCTTGAAACATGAGAAACTAAAACGTGAAATTTAGATAAAACCCCTAACTGAATGATAATCTTATTATGTACGTCAGATCTCATCCACTTCGCTATCCGATCAAAACAGATAAAAAGAAAATGCAAACAGGAAAATTGAAGAGATGATGATTGTATAAACAAAGGGAATTTTCAAATTTCGAAGGCCATACCTTTTAAACCGTAGCCACCCGATCCCTCTCCGATTGCTTTGCCGATTCGTCAAAATTTCAGATTTAATGCTCAGACTCTGCGAACCGGGCTGCTTGATATTTATAGGTGGATTAATGTGTCTTTTGATTTTTTACTGTTGTTTTTGCATGTAATTTGGCTTTTAATTTTAATTTTTTTATGTAGTTTGATCATTGATTTTAGTTTTAACATGTATTGTATAATTTTAAAAAAATATTTTTTTTATAAAAAATGATTAAAATTTTATTTATTATGTAAAATATTAAAAATTCATATTTTTTTATAGAAAGCCGTTGATTTTATTAAAAATAAAAAAAATCAAAATTACAATGAATGTTTACTAGTATAAATGTAAATATGAACTAAATTATAATTAGGATATTTTCTTATAACTATTAACACAAAAACTAGTCACCTAACAAAAAAAATTAAAAAATCTAACCAATGCTCGAACAAAATAAAGATACAAACAAATCTTATTGCATCGAAAAACGAACTACAAAAGGGGATAAAGCTACTGAAGACCATCGACAAATCGCAAATCAGAATCAAGCGACGTGAGAAAATCATTCACGAACGCAAAACGCGTATCCAAATCAATGATGATCAAAAGTAGAGAAGATCGATAACAAATAAGCGCATCTAGATCAGTCGTAGCGATGTCAAATCCAACCCAGAGAAAAAAGATAAATGAAAACATCGGCAAAAAAAACCGTAAACTACCAAAAGACAGAAAAACGTGTCTTAAAGGCAGAGAACATGTCACAAAGACATAAATATTCTTATTTAAAAAACTAAAAAAATTAAAGAAAAAAAAAACAATCGACGATAACAACTAACTTCAAAACTGGTGTCGTCATCTGTTAAATAAAATTATAGAAGAAAAAATTTGATTAATCAATAAAATTGACACAATTTGTAAAGAATAAAAAAAAGAAAGAGAAAGGAGGAAGAAAGCGACCATGGTTTTAGAATTTAGAAAACTTGCATTTTTTGAAGATTCATATTTTAAACTATCATTTAATATAAATTCAAATATTTAATTAAAATTTAATTTATATTAAAAAATATTTAAGAATTAAATTATAGATAATAATTAAAATAGGGGCTAAATTACACTTAAAATAGCCAAAGCTTTGCATATAAACCAAAGAGGACAGACAATCTGACATTGAGATTTAGGGCCATACAAATCATAAGCAATTTGCAAACCTAAACACTATATGAATACAACATAAATACTTGAAAAGAAAAAGGGAAAAAAACGAATACTATGAATAAGCGAATGTCTCAAAATCTATACGAGTTAATAACCTATCAAAATTCATACTAGTATAATACCTTACGCGCTTATGAACGGTAAAATACACAAATTGCTAGGGCTACAGGGTAACCGATGCAATCAAAACGGCATATTATTTGGTTTGGATGATGAAGATGGCTTGGCACTTGCAAAATCAAGAAGATCTTTGAAGAAGTCATCTTCTGGTTTTACTTGTTGGGTTGGGATCTTCGAGTTAATGGAGAGATTTTGGGTTCGTCCAACAAAGCTGTCATAAGAGGAACCTAAAACATCAATGGAATGAGAAGAATTACCAGTATAACCATGTTGTTGCTCAAAGAATTGATGTCTCTGATTAAAATCTGAAGGTGGCAGATAGTTTCCCGCAGGAATGTCCAATGGAGCCAGAGGCTGCTGCTCAGCATCAGCAGGTTTGGTTAAGGAAAAAGCTGGTTTAGCTTGTCCAATGAATGCAGGTGCGGATCCAGGGTCAGCCGAATGGGAAGAAGATGATGGAGCTAAAATTGAAGTTAGCTGCAGGGGAGAAGTCCGTGAGTGCATCGGTAGGATCAGAATGACGAGCAGGTTCGTTAACTTCAGTGGAGTCCCCGGACTTGTAGTTATCACCACTGAGATAATCAACCATGCTGGCATTTGTAGTAACTGGCCTTTTCGACGAGGGAGGAGGAGGAAGAAGTGGAATGGCTCGAGGAGGCTCACTGTTTTGTGCTCTTTGGACATGTCCTCGAGAATTATCTCTTGACGACCTGTAATAGAAGAGTACAGAGATTCATTAAATTAGATGAAAACCAAAACAACAAAATAAAAAAGACTTCCCTTTATAAAGGATTAGTCTCTCAAATATTATATTGGATGCACTCGATATGAGCATTCCCATTCTTTTCCAACAAACTATATTCAAAACAATCTTTTCTGTATGAACCACAAGTGTCTCCCACCCATCCGTTTAACGGTCTAAGCAGAGACTAATCCCATTGAACCAGTATTTAAAGCAATCTTTAAGCGTATCCAAGAGAAGATGCGACAAAACCCCTACAATTTCCACTTAAGTTTCAGTTATATATAAGCTGTTCCTTCAATGAAAACAAAAAGTCCAACGGAGAGCAGTGCATGCAGCGCATCAACATTATGTTCCTCAGACTCAATGGGGAATATGTCAATCGAGTATCCATCCAATACAGGGATTTAACTATTTTTAAAAGTTTTTTCATATATTTAGAGGATCCTTTAAGGATATCCTAATACCCAAGATTGAATATATGCATCAAACATGAATATCAGATATTATGTTTCAAGAAAAATAAAAGGCCGGAGCAACATTGCTTCAAGAGATTTTGCATGTCCTTAAATTGTTTCCATGTGCTAAGAGGATGAACTGGAACAGGTAGACGTTTCTTTGTCCAAATTTTTCATGGTTTTGAAGTTCAAGGTTAATCCGGCACATTGTAAATAGTTTTGGTAAACTAGCAGAAATATGTTTGAACAAAAAGATATGCAGAAAAATAACATGGTATAAGTCACCTGTGAGCCAGCTGAGCAAATTCATCTTCCGATTTATCATCATGGTTAACATTGACAACTGGCATAATATGAGTTTCTGCTACTGCTGTGGTAGCACTAGTGATGCTTCCTTTCAGAATATCATCATGCTGCAAAAGAACGCGCTGCAATTGATCATTTAATGCTAATCCCTGAGATAAAAGTTGCTCATTTCTGGAAAATCAGTTGATTTGCATTAACTTAATCTGTGGCATGCATGAGGATCGCATTGGAGAGTATGTAATATTTATTAATCATATTTATTATTACTTTTATATTATTTATTTCTTATTTGGTTTTGATAGATGCGTGTGCACATATTTAGTTTCTAGGGTTACTTTTCATCTTGATCAGTCTAAGGACCGGACTACATAACTAGTCCGAAGTCCCATCGATATTTGAAAAAGTTAGGATAAAAATATTGAACCCGAAAAATGGGCTTAGGCAAAATGTTAATTCCATTTAAAATATGGAAAAGGTTTCATTGATGCAATAAGTCCAAAAATATAGTCAAAATGGAGAATCAATTTCCATGCCACGGCAAGGAAAAAAAACCAAGCTTTTACACTGCACTAAGTGAAACCGGAAAACAGGATTGACGGAATTTATCCCAGATAAACATATTAACAATTAGAGCAATAAGCTTCAGTGGTACTAAATAGAAAACCAAGAGAAAAATGAACTCGTTGCAATTTGCACATTAAAACAAGTAAATCAACCGAAATCAATGAGCAAATAATCTGAAAAAACAGAACAGGATAGCACACGAGACAAGCATAATGGTCCATTTATAGAACAAAGTTTTTACCTCAGGAGTCTTGGGCTCCAATGCACTAAGCACTTCCATTAAGACATCTGCTAATTCGCTAGCATTTTTAATCTCTGCCAAGCTGCAAGTAGACAAGTTTCATTGTAATTGTAGGGTAATGATAACTGCAATAGCCCTCGTTTATGTGTAGCAGGAAAGATTTTAAACTGTGAAGACAGAAAGAGATATACAGCGTAGTACCTTTGAAGTGATTTATAATGGTTCAACAAAGAAAAGGGATAGCTTAAGTCTTAAGCTTTATGTCCCACGGTTAGAAATAATCCACACTGTGTTCATGATTTGCCATGTCATAATCATGTTTCAGATATTTTATATTCTATGAAAATTTTAACACATTAATAATTTATGTCATATAGAACTTAAGAAATTTGTGTATTCATGCTGTGTCCGTGTTATATCTTCATATTTTGTAATATCACTTTTGGATTTATCAAAGAAGTTAAGTTCAAAAAAATCATTTCAACATTATTATAGTTTTATACAAACATATATATGTTTAAATATGCCAATGAACACATAACAGAAACTGTTAGATAATTATGTAAATCATAATGTATACAATTTAGCATAAGCAATGATGACTTAAAAGGTGTGAAGATATATATATTACATATTCACAAATAATTTACAAATTATAAGCAAACATAAAGCAAAAACATGATAAGCAAGGGAAGAAAGATCTGATCCAAGCAAAAGAGTTGCAGATAGCAACAAGAAATTGATTTTCTTTTTTCAATCCATGTCATCAAGTGAAGCAAAAGGTTTCAAAAATATTTTACCAGACAGATCTTGTGCCAAAGGCAACTGTTTAATCCACAACAAGAATATAATGGCCTAGCACATTAGTACCTCAAGCCAGAAACATCATCAGACTGTTTAGAGACCTCAATAACAGCATTTTGACATGCTGGAACCGATTGGTGTGTTACCGGATTGCCCTGAGGTGAAGTGAATAACGGTACACTAATCTTTTCACGAGGAGGAAATTCAACTCCAGCAACCTTAAACAAACACAAAATAAGGTTCAACTTCAAGAAACAGATATGAAAAGACTATGCTACACCAACTCTTCATTTTTCTTCAAATACTTGACACTCATGGAGTCATGTCCGACACAAACCCAAACATGGGTATGTAGATATGACCCTCCAAATACATGAAAAAAAAAATCAAACTATGGAAAATGAATGGAAACCTAATACATCCAAGCACAAAAAGAACGAGTTCAATAATATTCATCCTTGGGAAAACAGGTGTTTATGAAGAGCTAACAAAATGAAAGGCATGTAAACAGAAAACCGAGAATTTACCCGTAGTTCTTTATATGCTGCAAAATATTGTGGATACCTTCCCCCGGGGCCTCCAAAGGCTACTTGCCATGTGTCTATAAAAGTAAGTATCT